ATATAGAAAGAGCTATAAATACATCTGTGAATAAATTCCCTGGCGAAAAAAACACCTGAATTATTATATGGATATATTCCGATGAAAAGTACTCGATTACCTGAAAAATTGAGAGAAGAGGTCAAAGAACATATAGAAATGGAACAAAGGAAGTATAAAAAAAATTATAGGCTAGCAGACTAGCAAAAAAAAGAAGAGAGAAGAATGTCATCTAGACGACAAGAAATAAGGAAGCAGTAAAAACGCAATAATCATAGAATGTGTATTGTGAAATATTATTTGAAATAAAACTATAAAACATGGAGTATCGACTTTATATAGAGTGGTCAACTCAATAAGAATACAGAATTTACACCAAGCAATAAAATCTTGAAAATTATAGGTTTATACGGTGTATACATCCAATATTGTATATTATGTGATATATTTATGTAAATATTCATGATGAAAATAAAAAGACAATTTTTTTAGTTCTAATGTATTAGTGGGAAAATTCTGTGTAACCAGTTAAAACAAGCACTTAGCTGTCTGGTCATAGTGAGCGTAAAACTACTAAGAAAAAGTATAGAAAAACAGTATTTTTAAGATAACTAATAGACTATAAGAAATTACTTAAAATATGTTACATGTAAATATATAAACACGAATAGAAAAGTAAATAAAATTATTATATAGGTACTATATAGTTCCCTTGGAACATCACTTAACATATTACATAATTACTAGATATACATATGTCAATACAATAAATACATTAATTTGGAAAACGTTGAATAAGATTTCTTCAAAAATCTAACCCTCTTCCTTTTTATTTATAATTGGAATGTGTAAATTAGCATCTTCAAAATTATCTAAATTTTCCCTTAAACCAATATGAACAACAGCTGTTGCACAAATAATAGCAACAGTTGTTTTGTAAACCTCGGACACATGGAAGATAAGTCCCAAATAGCCTTTCACATTTCGCATTCTTCTATGGGCAAAGTTATACCTGGTTTCTTGTTGATTACTTAGCTGTAGAACAGGAGTCAATAGAAATGGCCTACATCTATATGCATTGTCTCCAAGAAGTAAATCAGGAATATCACGCCTTTCCATTAGCATTCTTAATTACTTCGATCGAATATAACACCTTGACCCTGGATATCCAACTATAATATCCATAATTTCCCTTTTGGGACCTGAACATTTAGACTAAAAAAACGTTTGCGATTTTGAAATACTTCCACATTATTACATTATTCTTGATTATCTATGGTTTATTGTAGGTTGGCTAACACCACACAAATCTTCATTTACCATCTGAAAATTACAATTCGCATAGTATTCATCAGTCATCATAGTAATTAAATAACGGGAAGAATGGGTAAACCACGATTGGTAGGTTTTTGCAAGTCTTCAATTTATAAGAAGTAAAATAGTTTCTGTAATTGTAGCCTTGTAAAAGCAATATCGGCATAAATCCCCCCTCGCTAAACATTTCTATTGGATTTCCTGCATCCCGTATATATCTTTTTGGAACTCGAAGACGATTTTCTTCTTCCACATGGTCCAAAATATCCTCAAACTCTTCTAACATATTCAAAACTGTTTAATCAGACAAAACGGATTTACTTTGTTTACTAAAAAAATTAGGCTAAGAAACTATCCACAGATCACATAAACTATCCAAAAAGACAATCTCCAAAATGAAAATCGCAATCTCCAAAATGACGTTTGCTCGTGTATTCTGTGGATTCCGCTCATAGACAAACTAACAAAAGCAAGACTTTTCAAAGGATTGAGGAAGTCGAATTATTGTTTTTGCGCTGGCCAGTTGAGTCAGAAATCATCGCGCAGTCGCACTCGTCAAACCTAACCTAAATAAAACGAAAAACGTTTTTGCCTTGAACCATCCTTGAACGAACTGTTGAATTCCTGATTTTGCGTTTTGTTTGGTTATTACTATTATTTTATTAGCGTACAAAACGAAAACAAATAATTTAATACATTTTACATTTATGAAGAACATAATAATTACTGTGATTATACATATTATTGTGATTACATCCTAACGTAGACAAAACGAAGGTCCTACAAATTGACTGTAAGTTATAAGAATCTTTATCTTTTTAATCTTTTTATGATTTGAATTTTCGTGCTTTATATTTTATAATAGACTCGAAATGTTAATATTTTTGCAAATTCTTGTGAAAATGTGAAGTTTATGTTTTTGTTTTATATTTGAAAAGTTGTATATTTTTAAGATGTTTCTTGTTGTTCCTATTATTAATATTATAATATACATAATTATTTTTTGTACCTTTTGAAGAATAATGCTTTTATTTCGTTTACCATAACTGTTGTTTTTTATCATCTTTTTGTTATTTTAATAAGAGGAATACGTTTTCGTTTATTTAACTTTTGTTTTTATATCTGTTATGTCCAGAAATTATTGTTTATTTTACCGATGGAAATAAATTTATTTGATATTAATAAACGCTTTTTAATTAAACATCCTTGTCTAAAAGGCTACTACAAAATACACAATCCATAAGTAAACCGTCCTCGTCTAAAAGGCCAGTTGACGCAAGCGCGGTAATAAACTCTTATCAAACTTGTTACCGTTTTGCAGTACAGCGTTGACGCGTCTTGCTTTTGTTAGTTTGTCTATGATTCCGCTCTCAAGAGCCCAAGACCGTCTTGGCGTCTCGAGACGCAACTATAAATACGGGCCTAAATGACATCTATAGTGCTTGATATCGCCGAAATTATCATCGATTGTCATTTCCTAGCCGTCTTTAATGCCGTTTTTTATCGATCGCGTTTAGTTTTTTAATACACTGATTTGCTTTAAGTGATGTGCTTATTTCCTTCGTTTAAACTTTTTTTCCAAAACTAAACAAATATATTTTTAGAACGATATATTTAGATCATTTATTTAAATATCATAGTATATTTTATGGAAGAATTCGGTCTATTTTTACTTAGTCTAGACGGATCATACTCAATATTAAATAGTCTATTTAAAAATAAATTAATTGACATTTAAAAACATCATTATGTTTGCTTAATGGCACTTTTCTTTTGACTATTTAACATAATGTACTTTAATAATTACTATCTAATAATTGGTTAAAGATACTGTGTACGAAAATATAATTAAATATAGCCTCCTCTTAGTGATAATTATGACTATTAATATAATCTAATGATGATATGTAATTGTTGAGGATCTATGTAGGTATTTCTTGAAAAAAACTGGGTATTTTTCCCACTGAATTCAATTTAAAAAATATGAAGTTTTTCATAAATCAGTTAAAAACGGATTGCAACAAAAAATTGTTAAAATTTCGCATATGTTTTCAGCCATACCCAGCAAGCAAGTAAAATCAACAGGAGAGCCAATATTTGGACAGTTTTAAATTTGCATGGGATTTCCCATGTTTCCAAAGCTGATTTTTACCTAAATAGACAGTAATTGTTAATTTGAAGTGAAACCTTTAAACCTTAATTTGAAGTTTCCCTTTGTTTTTCTACATTTTATTATAGGCGTGCAAAAATATTAACCGAAGATTAAGATTTTAACATGTTGTGGTGTGGGCGCAAACTCAAAAATAACGTTGATGTACAGGGTGGGTCAAATTCGACGCTTTTAAATGGAAACACCCTTCTCTATAGGAGATAGACAAAAACTAGTATCGGTGTTTGTTTTTCAGCTCAATTTTTGTCAAAAACATGATGGTGAAAACCGCATATCGATATCTGTTACCGTTTCGGAGTTACGGGGTGTTTTTCAAAAATATGCATTTTTAACAAATCGCTGTAACTTTTTTGCTATAGAAAATTTTGTATTTTTATGAAAACATCTCCAAAGCACCTTTTTACGTAGAATTTAATGGTTTAAGTATAATTTTTTTTAAAATTAATAATTTAAGAATTATCAACAGAAAATTTGATTTTTTATATGGTACACTCTGTATATTTTTAATTTATTGAAAATAATTTAAAATTACATTTCCAAAAATATAACACACTTGATATTTTGCTCGATTCCTCTTCGAGATATAGAGTATATAAAAATTCGCCCGCTTTAAATAAGTAGGCTTTGTACGGCACCGGCTGTAATGCAAAGAAATTCTAGCTGTGAGCATCAATTAAAACGAAAATAATATTTGCTATGAGAGATGCAGAATTTTATAACAATTTAAAATATATTTAACCAACATCAAGACATTTAAACTATATCTAATAACGATAAAAATAAATAGTAAACCAAGACATGAGATTTTGCTATAGGTGTTCGACAGATTAATCGTCTTCTGTTATGGACAGACGGGGCAGTTTTTGAACATTTCTCGCGGAAAATGCACATTTTTGAAAAACACCCCGTAACTCCGAAATGGTAACAGATATTGATATGCGATATATCATCATGTTTTTGATGAAAATTGAGCTCCAGACACCGATATTAGTTGTCGTCTATCTCCTATAGAAAAGGGTGTTTCCATTTAAAAGCGTAGAATTTGACCCACCCTGTACACTAAATATAATTCTCTTAAACTAGTAATATTAATATTAATCCGAGTTATTGTAGATTTAGCCAATACATTCACACTTTTAATTTCAAATTAACACTTTGGAGTGTTCTTGAAACGTTGTGTTGTCACTACTAATAACAAAACAATCGAAGGGGTCCTTGACAAAAAGAACGCTAAACAATTTTCTATTTCAGTTGATATTCCGTAAATTTCCTTACAGATAATTATGCCATGATGCTGATAATTATGTCAAAACCTTTGTCAAAACCAAAACAGGGACAGGGATAGAAGTATTTGGGCCGAAAACTAAATACTCCGAACCAATGGGCACCTACCCCAGTATCCTTCAGGCAGAAATCTACACCATCGAAAGATGCGTACAATTAATCTTAGATAGGAACTATCAAAAACAGGATATAGCCATCTTATGCGATAGTCAAGCAGCACTAAAAGCGATCAACTCAATAACCACTAAGCGGGGTTTACATTGGTCAAGTTACTTGATTCAAGTTTACTTGAATCAAGTAACTTGAACGTCACTTGAACCGTGTAAACACTTCTGCAAGTGATTTTTTCCTCATTCAAGTAGTGCTTGACCCCTAGATTCAAGTGTCAAGTAAAAGTTGAACATGTTTGATTTTTGGAGTCAAGTTGGCTGCACTTGAAACAAGTAGGAAGGTCTCTTGACCAGTGTAAACACACATTCAAGCTCACTTGCTTCAAGGATTAACCTAAAAATCTAGTGTCACATTGAGTGGTGTTGTTTTGTTGTTGTTTATGTTAAAAGCATCTTTATTTAAAAATGAGTTCAAAAAGTGTTAAGTGGACAAGCGATCAAATTATTGAATTCCTGGAGGTGTATGAAAACTATCCTGTACTGTGGAACTCGGGTTTGAGTGAATATAAAAATAAGAATTTAAGAGATGCCGGATTTAAAGGTTTGGTAGACAAATTGAAAACCAATTTTCCCGACATCACCTTGGATGTGGTAAGAGCCAAAATAAAAGTAATCAAAACCATTGTCAGTCAAGAATGCATAAAAATTGCGAAATCCAAAAAATCAGGTTCAGCTGCTGATGAACTGTACGAACCTAAACTTAGTTGGTTCCATGCAGCAAAGTTTTTAATGGGTTGTTCGTCCAGCAGACCTTCTACTTCAACTCTGGTAAGTAAAAACTACATTTCTTTATGTCTACACATAATTTATTAATAAAATGCTTTCATATACTATAAGTTACATATTTACATACAAATATATTGCAGTAATAGTATTTTAACTGAGTACCTTCAGCATACAATATACAGGAAAGGCTAACATATATTACAATTGTAAAAACATTGCATTTACGCAGGTTAAACTGTATTATTACCCATATTTAGTTACAAAGTTAAAGGCTGTTCGATGGTTGATCAGCACCAATCCACTTCCATTGCCACGGTAGTGACCCTTCTTTTGAAGAGAAGAATTTTTCATACTGCTCTCTAAACGATTTGAGCTCACGTTTGTAAGCATTTGTCGAAGTCAGTTTCGATGTCCTCAGCAGACATGATGTATTGAGAGTGGTGCGCCATGTGCCTGGTATGATTGTGCATGTTGCCATGTCTCCCACATCTACAGATGAAGGATGAAGGTAATATTTCCCTGATGATTTGCGTAGCCAGTTGTGAAGTGCACAACAAGTTTTGACAACCAAATCTACAGTTTCAGGAATCAATGCAATAGGCCGTTCGAATACTCTAAATCTAGCAACTAAAATGCCGAAAGCATTTTCCGAAACTCTACGAGCTCTAGAAAGTCGATAATTGAATATTCTTTCTGAAATTGTTAAGTTGCGTTTGCTGAAAGGTTTCAGTATGTCCTTTCTTAGAGGAAACGCATCATCTGCAACAATAACGGCATTCTGTGGTAAATTTAGGGTGTTACGTTCCATTGCAATGTTCAATGTTGATGCTTGAAAAACTGCACCATCATTTGACTTTCCATTAGCACCGACATCTATGTATAAGAAATTGTATTCGGCATCAACTAATGCGAACAGTATGATGCTGAATGTACCCTTGTAATTGTAGTAATTCGAACCGCTCTCAGCAGGGCACTTTATTTGGACATGTTTCCCATCAATGGCTCCTATGCAATTGGGAAAGTTCCACTGCACTTCAAATTTGCGTTGCACCAATTCCCACTCTTCCTTTGTACTTGGCACCTGAAAAAAAAATGTATTGCCACAATTTTTTCATAATATTTCTATTATTTTGTACAGTTATTCTGTTTCATTTCAGGATAAGGAAATCCAAATTCTGCCTACACTGACTGACGCATCTGAGACTGACGATATAGAGGATGTGGATTCTCCAAGTTCTCCAATTGTTCAACCACAACCAAAAAAAACTAAATCTCAAACACCTGGAATGCAGCCTCCACGCTCCAAAAAGCAAAAAATATCCGAAATACATGCTGTTGAACACATAGTTGATAAACTACATGCAATATCACAAAACGTTAAACCAGCTGGCAAAAATGGTTCTGTGAGACACACTAGTGATGAACTGTCTCATTTTGGAGAGTACGTTTCAGCACAATTGGGGCAATTAAACCCAATTGATTCTCTTAATGCTCAAAAAGCTATCCAAGACATTCTTATAGCTGCAAGAATCAAATCATTGAATCGAAACATGCAAATTCACAGATATTCTTCACTATCACCAACCATAGCTACCTCTGTATCTGGATCTGACAGAACTGATGTGGAAGATATTCATTACCAAGACAATTCAAACGACTTACTTTCTCCTGCTTTGCAAACCAGTTTCTTACTAGAAACCGACAAAGAACAAAATGATTCCGACAATTTTCTGGTCTTTCAAGAAATTGTTGTTGACAAGAACAATTGTAATTATGAAATTATTTAAAAATTAATTGACATCCTACTTGTAACAGTAAACATAATTATAAAATATAATGTGTTTTTTGTTTACCTTAATATATTCTTCGAGTACTTCGTAAACCGCTGCCAAAACTTCAGGTAGGAATTTGCTGATTGAACTTTTTGGCACTCTGTATAGATACTGCAAAGAAGCGAAACTGTCACCAGTAGCTAAATACCTTAAGGTTATTTCAAGTTTAGTTTTTGCCGGTATTGCTAGCCTGAACATTGTATCCTTTTTTTTAATCTTCTTTTCAACCAAAGTCAAAAGTTCATCAAACCTTTGTGGTGTCATTCTTAGGTGGTTTCTGTATGAATCCACGTCCTCTACAGCTAATTCTCTGAGTAAGCTGTTTGAGGCTCCAAGAATTAATCTACGACTAATCCAACTCCGTACCCATACTCTTCCTCTTCTTCTTTCATTTTTTCTTAATGCATTTACTGTAACATCGCTTACTAATGGTACTACCAGTGCAACGACTTGACGGAGAGCATCAGCTATATCATCAGGAGTGACGGCCATTTTCACTGCAGACAACCAAAACAATCCCTCCACTTGAATTCAAGTTTGCAAAAATCGTTCATATAGTGTAAACACCAAAATTGATTCAAGTTGACTTGACTCAAGTTAACTTGATTCAAGTAACTTGACTAATGTAAACCCCGCTTTAGGGTTTCACTACTTCACTTGACTTTCAAGTTACTTGACTTGACTTGACATCAATTCAAGTTCAAGTCAAGTAGTACAATTTCAAGTACTTGAAAAGTCAAGCAATTGCTCACAACTACTTGATTTTTGTCAAGCTACTTGATTACTTCACTTTGTATTAAGTTTCATTTGATATTTTTAATCAACCACAAAATCCTGCAATAATAAACTTTATTGAAAAAACTCTAATGTTAACAAGAATCGCGGACGTCTGACAAAAGCCTCGTCCTGTAGGCACTTGTTCCCAAAGTTGTGTTGATTCAACTATAAAGGCAAAATTAAACCATTTTTGTATGCAAACAATTTTGATATTTCATATTAGTATCACTTAATTTACAAATGTCACTTTGAATTTGCTGATGCGTCGTTTTTTAAAAAGCAAGGAAACCATACCAAAAGGTGGATTATGATTCAGTCAAGTGCTTTATCTACATATAGTAAAATTATATAAGGATTCTTGCGACTTAACTGCTGATATAGCAATTTAATTCTACGCTGTGTTTGTCATAATGTGGATCAACCTATAGTAAAGTAGAAGCCGGTAGTACGAGAGCAGGTTGATCCACATTATGACAAACACAGCATAGAATTAAATTTCTATATCAGCAGTTGAGTGGCAAGAATCCTTATATAATTTTATTATATACCTATACTGCAAGAAATTTGTTTTCTATTCTACATATAGTTAGACCATATCATAGGGATTATGGACACATTTCATACTTGTTACTTCTACGCCGTTCGTTAAGGGTCAAGTATTTTATTTTCATAAGTGTCAAGATTGACCATCGATATTTTTCAACCAACGCGACGTTTTATCAGCATCCATAATATTAAGTGATATTATCATCGATGTCAGATGACCGAGGTCCAATCACTATTATAGGGCGCGCAGTGCGACAAGATGCAATCAAGTAATATCAAGCAGCTTGAAACTGCTTGATATCAAGTCAAGTAGTAACGATTGAAAATCAAGTCAAGTCAAGTATTTTCTAAAAACATCAAGCTACTTGACTTGATGAATCCCTAGTAACCATCAATTCGAAGTGGGTTAAAGAATGCCTAGAGAAGCTCAACAAATTAGGCAAAGAAAATAAAGTCCTCCTACTCTGGGTGCCCGCTCACCAAGGGATAGAAGGCAATGAAAAACAAACGATCTAGCTAGAAAAGGAGCGAACACTTCACTAACTGGACCAGAACCGTTGTGCTTTCCAAGCAGAAACCAACTTAAAGCGGAACTCAAGAACCTGGAACACTCCATTCGTAAAATGGAATGAGAATCCTCCAACGGTCTAAGACACCCGAAAACATTTCTCAGAACTTACGACCGCGAAAAATAAAAGATTTTCATGAATTTAAGATTTAAGTAAGAACAATCTTCGGATTGTCACGGAGGCCCGGTTCTGTGATGGCCAAAAATATCTGAACCTCAATTGGTAGTATTAATTAGAGTTTCCGGAACCGTACTAAAATATTTTCGTTCAATGATTGTGGAGTTCGTCAATTAGCAAGTAAGGGATGGTTCTCAAAAGTAAAACCGATAAAAAATTCAGTTTCAAATAAAAATAATATCAAATTATTAAGTCATGAGAAAGTAAACATGAACACAAACGAAAAAAAACCGATAACCCAATAAGTAGCTTAAAAATTACATCAAACATAAACAACAAAAACTTAACTAAATTTGAAAAAAAAACTTAACATTTTCAATTAAAGATGCAAATGCCTAGAAAAACATAACACAAAAAAATATAACTAGCAATATTATACTAAATAATAAAATAACACATTTAAACTTCAATAATAATTGCTAATAAACATTATAGAAACTTCAAAATAACTTCAGAAGTAAGAACAGTAAGAAAGAGCATCACTATTTATTTAGAAAGAGTTTGACTCAGGTAATAATTTAAAAATTGATATTAAAAATATCCGATATACACATCCAACTTTTCATAAAATAGGCAGTTTTATTTATAGACATTCCACGTAAACGAGGTCGAGGATAACCACTAATAATTAATTAAAAACACGAAATCAATGTCTAGTATCTTGATATCAAATCAATTCCTCGAAAAGTTATAATTATTATATTTCAAAGGGACCTATTACGACCGTGTAATTTTTTGCCGCTACTAGACGTTTAAACCTTGATCTTTGGCTATTTCTCACCTCTCCGTGAGTGTCTAGACAGACAGACTATTGAAAAAATTAATGGGGAAAAAACCAACCGTTAAATTTGCGAAACCTTGCGAATTCTTCAATTTCGGGCACGCACAATGCGTAAAATTCGCTTTCTATTAATTTTCGAAGATAAAATAAAGGAAATAGTTGGTAGTTCTACGTTTACCATAAGAAAACTTTGGTGCAAATGTACGTAGATTGTGTTTGTTGTTATCTATATAATTTATTGCAGTTGCAATGCCGGGAATTACTAAACGAGGGAGCGTTATCAACTGAATGAAACCAAAATTGCGGCAAATGAGTTAAAATAAAGTGGTATTTTTGTTTAAAAGATATTGTACGTCCGTAACTCACTAGCTTTTCGCATTAGCATAATCCTATAAATATATTATTGTTACATTCTTATAGGGTGAATATGCCAGTGGTCGAGCAGTTTGGTCGGACAAAAAAGATGAGTTTAAATTGTTGATTAAATTTTCTTTATTGATGGCATGGAAATGAAATTTCATAAAATAGATAATGTGGTTACTGGGCGTCACGTTAAATATAAGATTTTTTTTCATTAACCTACCAATGATTTTAACCAGTGGCGGATACAGAGGGGGGCCCATGAGTCCCGGACCCCTCCATAAAATCTATAAATTGTGTAAATTATTATTCTTTTTATTTTGCTCCCCCCCCTAAAATAAATTCCTGTATCCGCCCCTGTTTTTAACTATTTTTTACGGCCGGGTAGCTATGCCGCGAAACCGTCCCATTATTAGACATTGAAAATAATACAGGGTGTTTCTGGGGTTGAACTATACTAGCAATTAAAATACTTGCACTTATTTCTGGGACACCTTGTATAATATGAAAATGTTTTCTAGATAATCTATATATATCTATTCTCACAGTACTTAACAAAGTACTAAATAATATAATAGTACCGAACCAAAAAATGTGTTTTTCTTGGCTCGTTCGTGCATATCAGTCACATATCTACTAACTATTATCTCTACCATTTATACTTATTACCAACAAATTAAACTAATATTCAAGTTTTGTCCTTAACTTGCTTAACAGACATGAAATTTTGAAAATTATTATTTTTTTTCAAGACAACTATGATGTTATAGCGTAGTAGTATTAAAAATATGGGTAAAAATAGAAAAAATTGGAATAAATCGCAAACTATTAAAAATAGGTATATATATGTATAGGTACAGGGTGGGGGTCAAATTCGACGCTTTTAAATGGAAACACCCTTTTCTATAGGAGATAGACGAAAACTAATATCGGTGTCTGGAGCTCAATTTTCATCAAAAACATGATGGTGAAAACCGCACATCAATATCTGTTACCGTTTCGGAGTTACGCGGTGTTTTTCAAAAATGTGCATTTTTAACAAATCGCTGTAACTTTTTTGCTATGGAAAATTTTGTATTTCTATGAAAACATTTCCAAAGCACCTTTTTACGTAGAATTTAATGGTTTAAGTATAATTTTTTTAAAATTAATAATTTAAGAGCTATCAACAGAAAAATTGATTTTTTATTTGGGACACCCTCTATATTTTTAATTAACTGAAAATAATTTAAAATTACCTTTCCAAAAATATAGCACACTTGATATTTTGTTATAATCCCTTTCGAAATACAGAGTTATTAAAAGTTCGCCACTTTTAACTAGTAGGCTTTGGAGCCCTTATTGATGATATGCCCTTAATGGAACTCGAAAACATATTTTTTCAGCAAGACGACGCACCGCCTCTGTACGCTGAAGTTATCAGCAAATTTTTGCAGCCAATTTCAAGAATAATTGAATAGCTAACCAAGATCCCAGCCGTTGGCCGTCGAGGCCGCCTGACTTAGTGCCCATGGATCTAATCCTATGAATATATTTGCGGAAGAATAAAGGTTCCTTATTCTTCCGTATAATCTAGACAAGAATTAGAAATAATTAGCAGATATGAGAGGGTATCTTTTACCCCTACTGAGTTAATGAATTCCGCGAGAAATGTTCAAAAACTGCCCCGTCTGTCCATAACAGAAGACGGTCGATATGTCGAGCACCTGTAGCAAAATCTCATGTCTTGGTTTGCTATTTATTTTTATTGTTATTAGATATAGTTTATGTGTGTTGATGTTGGTTAAATATATTTTAAATTGTTATAAAATTCTGCATCTCTCATAGCAAATATTATTTTCGTTTTAATTGATGCTCACAACTAGATTTTTTTGCATTACAGTCGGTGCCGTTCAAAGCCTACTCATTTACAGCGGGCGAATTTTTATATACTCTATATCTCGAAGAGGAATCGAGCAAAATATCAAGTGTGTTATATTTTTGGAAAGGTAATTTTAAATTATTTTCAATAAATTAAAAATATACAGGGTGTCCCATATAAAAAATCAAATTTTGTG